AATGCTATTTCTTGTTGGTTAATACTACTTTTGTTCACTTCTTCTGCTTCCAAAAAGTAGATAGTAATTACTGGTTCATGGAATTTTCAGTTTTTTAAGTCTCCTATTACTCATGTGTTTTATGGGCAAAATTGTCAAATGCTGTAATTATATCTTATATACAGAAGGAGGCAGTAACCACCATCTCTCCACTAAGGAGAGAAAGCACACACACACACACACAAAAAAAAATTGGAAATCTAGGTGAATATTTATAGATTCGCTTAATGAAAAAAGATGATCTAATTCCAGAGCTCTTTTCTGTCCTTTCCTTATTTTTATATCTTTCTATCTAGAGGTTGTATGCAGAGTCATGTCACATTGTTTGTTTATATTCTTTTTATAAAACATAAGTTTGTCTGAATAAAGGTAAGTACCCATTCCAGCCAGTTTCTCTTCTGTTTTGCTGTCCCCCAGAGGTTAACAAAACTACAGTATGTCATCTCTATTCCTAATTTTTTTTCCTTCTCAAGCCTGATGCAACAGTGTTTCCATACCCTTCCTTTTATATGTAAGTGTCTTACCTGAGGGTTTCAGCCTCCATCAAGTTCACTGTGGATTCGGTGAGAGACCGAAAAATGACAACTGAACGTTCTTGGGGTGAAAGGTCTTACACCAGACTTTATTCTCCTGGTGGAAGAGGTCAGGTGCTAGAATCCCATCCGCCCCCTGGACAGTCTGCATGCAGCAAGCCAGTCTCTGCCTCAGGGCCTCCCTGCAGCATCGCAGCCCCACAGCCCTGGTGTAGCTTTTTATAGAGAGTCAGTAATAGTTCACTGCCAAAATGTGGGCAAGCATGCACCTGTGAGCATTGTACATGTGCAGTGGGCAGGTATATCAGCATCAGGTGAGGATCCTGGCCATGGAACCTCCACTTACCCCACAGTGAGTAATTGAGAATTAGTGTGGATGTTTCCTACTTCCAGTGTTAATAATTTTTAAAAATTGTTCCATTGAATATATTTTTTGTCATAATTTGGATGCTGGTTTGGCTGGCTTCCATCTTCCCTTCACAGTTCTAGTCTTTACCCTGCTCTAGTTCCAGGCAGTTGGTTTGTCTGGATACACAAACGGGCTTTCTTGCCTATTGGCTTCTAGGTCAGTTCAGCTGGTGGGGGAACATTGTTAGCAGATCAAAGAAAAGAAGGGAAAGGTTAGGATATATATTTTCTTAATTTCTTCCCTACGGGATTTCTGCAGCCTGGCTGCATCCTTCCATTGAAGGTCAAAGCTCCCATCAAGTAGTCCTCTTTGTTTTAACGTTGCTGACATCTTCCTCTCCTCCCCACTTCCCTGCCAGGGAGTGATGTTAGGGCCTGCTGTTATGAACCCTGGTGATTTCCTGACAGCCTACCTTTGTAAACAGTCAATCTATTAAAGTTTTCTTGAATTATCCAAATTGAGTGTGCCATCTGTTTCCTCTGGAAACCCTGACTGATAAATAGGCTTTAAAATATTTTACATTCTTTCAGTGGCTATTACGATTCTAAAGTGGATTAGCACTAGATAAGGACAATTATGACAGTTTCATAAATTTTATCTGTTAGCTGATGGGTGATTTTATTTTTAATTTCACTGAAAGATCTTGTTTTGATTATTATCTATCTTCAATCACTTCATATGACAACACATTGTTTTAAACATTGTGAAGAACTAAAAATTAAATGGCACACATGCTCAGTAATTCTAATATAAGGTGACTGGTGGTGAGTTTCATGGAGAGTTACAAAGTGGTAAAGAAGTTGAGAGGAGGGAGATCCTTCTGTGAAGGTAACTTTGATTCTGTCTACGGCAGGAATGGAGACCCAACATTTCCTTGTGTTCCTGGTGAGACCTCTACTGCTCAGTCCTTGCTTATTTACTTCATCACTTTATAACCCATCATCACAAACCACTTGAAAGACCAAGCCCAAAAGTAATAATAACTAACACTACTGAGAGTTCACTGTATATGCTTGTCCTGAGTGGAAAACATATACTAACTTATTTAACCTTTCCAGCATTCCTGAGAAGCAGGTTGTGTTGACTGAAGTTGGAATTCTAATTTAGGTAGCCTGGCTTCCTAGCCAGGCTCATAATTACCACCCCCCCACCACATTGTTCTATAATTAGAATTGATTATCCACCTCCCCCAAAGAGATAATCAAAACTGACTCCATCTTGTGTGCCATCCTTTTAAATAATGGACTGTAGGTGTCATTCTTGCTCCTCAGTTACGGTTCTGGCCCCCAGCCCCATTCTCCTATATCAGTAGATTTTATCACCTGCTGTGTCTTCTTGTTGCAGTCATACTGGTAGGCACCACCACCCCACCCCATTCAGTATAGATTTTAGCACCTTCCGTAGTTTTTTTTTTTTCCCATTAGTGTTAATCATTTCTGCTGATCCCAGTATCCACATAGATAACCCACAAGATTATCATGCCCATAGATAATTTAGCCTCCTGAATTCTTTGACCTCTTATCTCTAATAATCATCTTATTTCAGATTTTTTTACTTATTCATAACTGTATTCTCAGATTTCAAGTTCAAGCATCCTATTCTCTGACCACCAGTGTCTCTCTCTCTCTAGCTCACCCCCTCTGATTCCTAACTCCAGCAATTTTGGGACAATCTCCAGTCTACTGAGGCTAAACTTGGTTGTCCATCATCCCCATCATATCTTTGTTTTTCTTAAACTCGTTTAGGTTCCATGGTCTATTATAACCACCCCCTTTTTTTTTTTTAACTCTTGACGTATTTTACCTGATTAAAGTCAACATACTACCTACTTTGTACCTGAACAGCTAGGTGAAGCTGGAGGAAGAATTAAAAATTTCCAGTACTCCCTTTGAATGTAATTGTAAAGCCACAGAATCTTTGAAGATTACCTTTTGGGAGAATCATTAGTTAGGTTTCTGCCTGAGGAGAGTCCTAGGTGGTTCTTTTTAATTAGCTAAGTATTTACTGAAGAAGCTGAGCCTTTACAGGGTTTATAGTATTTCTGGCAGTAAGTTGCATTATCTATCATTCCTTGGTGTCTGTACTTCTTGGGCTTTGCCACTGAGATGTTTTTATAATAAGATTGCTCCTTAGCTTAGTCCTCACCATGTGTACTGTTTTAATAACTTCCTGGTATCTGTACTATCCTGTATCCTTCCCAGAGTAGTGGGGAACCACAAGAAATGTTTGAAACATGCTTGGGGTACATGACAGGAGAGGGAAAGGATGAGTCCTTTTTCCAATCCTTATTTCTCCCTTATCCACTTCAGTAAGCAGGTGAGATTGAGAAGAATACTGTTTTCCCTTCTTTGATTTCTTAAATTTTTGTCAGGCTTTTAGAAGCGAGATGCTGTGCTCTTGTCACCTTGTCATATTTGGTTACTTAAAATAATATGATTTCGGAAACTTGTGGACTTGTTTTGTATAGCTTTATTGAGGAATAATTAATTATAATAATTGTACATATTTAAAGTATAGAACGGATGAATTTTGACATACTTGAAACCATTGTCACAATTGTAAGAGAACATACATTTTCATTAGCCCCAAAAGCTTTTTGTGCCACTTGGTAATTCATCCATGGATGTGCTTTCCGTCACTGTAGGTAAGTTCACAATTTCTGAATGCAATCCTACAGTCTGTACTTTTGGGGGTGGGGAATGGTCTGACTTGATTATTTTGACATTTATGTAGTTGCTTGTATCAATAGTTTGTTCCTTTTTATTGCTGATTAGTGTCCTACTTAAATTTTCCAGAGTTTATCCATTCAGCTGTCAATGGACATTGGGTTGTGGACATGTGCTTTTATTTCTCTTAGAAGTGGGATGGCTGGTTTATATAGTAGGTAGAAGTTTAACTTTTAAGGAACTGCCAGTTTTCTTCCAAAATGGTTGAACCATTTTACAGTCTTGAGAGTTTTAGTTGTTCCACATTCTCACCAACATAAGATACGGTCAGTCTTTATGTTTTTAGACATCCTAGTGTTATCTGTGGGGTGTCTGTGTAGTGGGATGTCAGTGTCATTTTAATTTACATTTTCTTCATGACTAATGATGTAGGGCTTCTTATTTGCTGTGTGTGTATCTCTGGTGATGTGTCTATTCAGATTTTCTTGCCCATTCTTTAAAAAGTGTTTTTCTGGTCTTTTTTTTTTAGCAATTGAATTCTTTTATATTTTAAGAATTCTTCATATATTTTGGATTCAAGTTCTTCCAAGTTCTTACATGTTTTGCAAATACTTCTCAGGTGGTGGGTTGCATTTTAATTTAAAAAATTTTTTGAGATCAGTAGTGATCAGTAGTTTTAAAATTTTAATTAAGTCAATTTTATTAGTTTTTTCTTTATAGTTCTCTTTATGCTCTTTGTGCCCTGTTTGAGTTCTGCACCATTTAATTTCTTTGAGAAATCTCAGATTCTCATTTTTTTAGCCTTTAGAGAAGAATAAACAGGAGGCAACTATAAAGCTGGAGTTGTATCTGCCTTGTATTTTTGTTTTTGCAGTTTAATAGAAAATTGTGATTCTGGTACTTTCTGTTTATTCTTGTCAAGGATCTGTGAAATTGCTGCTGGTGTAATTCCTCTGTTTTCTGGGGATGAGGGAACCGAGGTTCATAAAGGCTACGCAACTTTACTAATAGCTTACAGCTTATCTTCCCAAGACCAAAAAAAATCCCAGGTCCTCTTGATAGTGAAATCTCATTTCGCTGTTGGTTTCCCTGTGAGGCGCTGTTCTTTATCATGTTGTTGCTAAGATTTGGCTGCAGCTGTAACATTAAAATAACTGTAGTCTCTTCATTTGTTGCTTCTTCACTAATCGTTGTGATACATACTCTCAACGAAAGCAGTATTATTAAAATTAAATAGCTCAGCTTTCTGAAAGAATCATAATTTTCCCTTAAAATTTCAATTAAGTTTCCCTTAAAATTTCAATTAGGATGTTGAATTTAACAGTTCTTTTTTTTTTTTAATTCTTTCCAAAGGTCTGTAAACAGATTTGGCTAGGATTATTTGATGATAGATCTTCAGCAATTCCAGACTTCAGGGATCCACAAAAAGTGAAAGAGTTCCTACAAGAAAAATATGAAAAGAAAAGATGGTGAGTGAATAGTTTGTATTTAGAGCAAAGGCTCCCCAAATCACATTAATTATGGGTAAGATAAGTCTGACATAAGGAAGGAAGGAAGGAAGGAAGGAAGGAAGGAAGGAAGGAAAGAAGGAAATACATAGGTAGGTAGGTAGGTAGGTAGGAAATAAGGAAATAGGCAGGTAGGTGGATACTCATTATACTTTGGTTTCCCAAAGCCTTTACTTGTACTTTACCCTCTTATCTGTGCCTAGCACAGCCTTTTCCTTACTGCCAGGCCTCCTACCCTTTATTTTGGAAGTTAGAGATCTTCTGATCCTTCTCCCTGTTAGCTTCTCTAGACATTTTAGTCTTACAAAGTTTCCTTTCTTAAAATCTTCATTCCTTTAGCAGATTTGTATCTTTTATGTATTAGGCACTGTACTATACTAAACTCTTGTGTAGTAATCCATCCACTTAATTGCATCTTGCAGTGAGTCTTTGTTCAAAATATCCCTCACTTCCCATTCAGATCATTTTACTGCCTGGTTAAGAAGGGAGTGTTTATACTCCCCTAACTCAATCCTTTAGATGTTAAATTTTAAAATGAAATTAAAACAAGCTGGACATAGCACTAGTAAACCCTTTGCAGCAGAGCTGGGAGTATATCTGTAGAGCTATAGGCCAGCTCCTTGGGGCTTTTCATTTTTAGCTATATGAACATAATTTACTATATTAAGATTCATTAATGATGAACTTGTGGTAGTTTTGTTTTTAGTGTTCAATAGTGCCTATTTCTTTCTTCAGGGTAAGTAGATAAGGAGAGAATCACCAATACAGGGAAAAGATAATGAGAAAGTAAATAGCCTCTTGTTTCCCTGAGGAGCTGTATTTTGGCCCAGAGATGATGTATTTAAAAGCCTGCTTTGGTCCTGAGGGACTGTGTCCTGTGGTCTATGGGTGAGATGTCATGGCCTTCATTCAGTGAGCACATTAGGAAGAAGGAGCTCTGATTGGTGGGCTCTGTGAACTTGCCTTCTTACTGTTCTCTAGAGGAGACTAATATTGCAAGGCAAGTTTAGCCAGAAATATTCAATGACATTAGGTAGATCAGGTGTGAATATAGATAAGAACATACCATTAAAATTTCAGTTTAGGAAAAAAGAAAATCTTAGAAGGTGGGGTAATAGTAAAACACATGATGGCATAAATAAATCTCTGAAGTGTGTAATCATCCTTTTATCATTTTAGCTCTTAATTTCCTAGAACTTTTACCCTTCCTCCTTGCATAGTTAAGACCTTTCTCCCTGCATAGCCCTAGCCTAATTCTTTATTTTCCCCACAGTTTTTCTCTTACCAAGTCAGAAAGTTAGTTTGAATAGGATTTAGCTGGGATTTCAGAGAGTTTAGGTTCAAGTGGCAAGAGAAAAGTGTGTGTGAATAGAAGTTGGTAGAATTAAAACCATAGATTCCTCCCTGCATTTATTATAATAAAAATAATAATAAATAATAACATTTTTCAAACCACGACCCAAATAACTTAAACCTCAAATAATTATAACTCATGTTATTTTTTCTGTCATGAGAAACAGGATAGTAATAATGAGATATAAAAATGCGTAGGCAGGCCGTGACCTGTCCATTTTTAACTCCCGCTCCCTCACACCTGTGACATGTAACAAGAGAGTGATGCAGTGCGTTTTTAATATGACATAAGCACCATCCAAGTGCCGCCCCCCTAAAAATCCTCACTGTAGGCAACCACACTTAGAACATTGAGACTTTTGTCACTTATAATGGGATTTTATTTTGTTCTTCTGACCAATTTTCAAGTTCATTTCCTGTGCTATACAAGCTTCTTTACTTTAGTCAGTCTTTTGAACTGAATAATAGTACCTGATTTTACCCTTTGATAACACTTGGCTGTACTCAAAAATTGATGTCATCAGTGATACGCCAAATTATGGGAAAGCATACCTTCCTGTTTTCATTCTCATATTTATTGGAAAAAACAAAGCAGTTTTATTGTTTGTGATTATTACATAATTTGATAATAGCTAACACTTATGTAGCTAACACACCTGTATCAGAAACTAAGTACTTTACAAATGCTAACTCACTTATACCTCAAGCAACCATCTCTCTCTTTTACAGATGAAAAATTGGAGGCACAAAATATTGCAGTAGTTTGCCCAGCTTTCACAGCTACTAAGTGGTGGAGCTGGAGTTTGAGCTCTGTCTGGCACAGATAGGTGCACTTCCCCACTCTTCCTTCTTCCCCAACCTACTTGTTACTAGGGGTGGGGAGGAGGAGAGGGTGGGACAAAACCTGGAAGTACAGAGAGAGGAAGCTGTCACATAATCCGTGATCCAGCCCTGGAGATTAGTTTAGTACTGGCAGTTTGGGGGCATTATATTCTTACCGCCTCCCTTGCTTTCCTTTACTCGCTTCCTCCCTTGAATCCTGTATTTACCTGTAAAGTTTTAGGGACATCTTTCCATGTCAAAACAGTAACTTTGTATTATATAGATGTTAGTGTAATCCCTTTAAATATTTTTGTCCTGATGAATGTTGGGTTATTGCCCAGTTTTTTTGAAATTACAGAGAGTACAATTGTAATACACATGTACATCTATCTAGGTTTCCTTAACCATTTAATTCCTAAGGATAAATTTCTGGACTTTGTACTTTAGGGGCACAGAACATACTTATTTATGTATTTTAATAGATAGCAAGAAAATTTGAAGTTTCACTCAGCTCAAATGCAAATGATACTTTAATTTGCATTTTTATTAGGTTATGACTGTTTTCATTTCTATGCCTCCCTTTGTGAATTGCTTCTGCCCATTTAAAAATTAGGTTGTGGATCTTATTCTTACAGATTTGTAATAGGCCTTTATACTTTAGGCTATTAACTATAATTTAATAATCTCTTCCTTTTGTTCTATTTCCAAATATTTTGAAATCTATTTATGATCTTACTATATATACTATATACTTCAGCTTTTAAAAATTAGAGTATTAACTGTTTGTCATGATGATTAACTATAGGTTCCCTGTTAAAAAAAGATTTATTGTATTTATTATCTTAGAAAAATCATAAGTAAATAGTTGGAACAAGTTTTACAGTTAGTCTTTATCACTCTATCTGAGCATTTCAATTAAGTGTAATCTTAAGCTATCAATTCTAAGAGGGTTTTGAAATAAGATTAATGTTGAAATAGGCTTGTACAAAATTAGATTAAGCTTATCAGTTTTGAGTGTAGTATTCCCCACATTTTCTTAATTAACTGTCTGCTCAATTTTTCATCTATTTTAGGTATGTCCCACCAGAACAAGCCAAAGTGGTGGCATCAGTTCATGCATCTATTTCAGGGTCCTCTGCTAGTAGCACCAGCAGCACCCCTGAGGTCAAACCACTGAAGTCTCTCCTAGGAGATTCAGCACCAGCCCTGCACTTGAACAAGGGCACGCCTAGTCAGGTGAGTAGCCTCTGTGGGTCTTTGTAGAGACTTCTGCGTAAGGATCGAGTATCAGGAGTTCGAGAAGCGCTATGTGCCAGTAGCTTTATGTCCTGATGCGTTATGAATAGAAGACTTCTGGTTAAGTAGTTGGAATGTGTATATTTTTGTTCTTTTGCTTTTACATACACAAATTTAAGTTCTCCTCAGCTTTGTAAAGGTATACAGGAATGTTTATAGCCGTCTATTATGTAACATACCATTAGTAAAGCAAGAATCTATGATGACCATCAAGTTAGAACACTGTAGTCTCTGTGATGTACTTTTTTTACATGAAGGGGTTTCCTCAAGTAGTAGAATTTTCCCACATGCCTGATTGTGAAGCATGTTTGTCATTGAAGCGCAGGATTACATTACTTAACCTTACTCTAAAAAACTGAGTAGACTCAAGCCTTTGCACAAGTTGGTTCCTAAAGGTTGTGCTTCTGCCCTTCATTAGAGTTGACGGGACTTGACAAGTCTTGTTACTGTGTGGCAGGGCTCCATCTGTCATGTTCAAGGATCATTCTGAGGCATGGTGCCATTTGAGTTAAATCCCACCTTTTTTTAGTAATACATACCAGGGCATCTGGATAAATTTCTCTGTTTTCACTAAAGATTTGTGTGAAAAAGAACAGTTGTCAGTATATTGTAATTCTTTCCATGTATAAAGGATGTGTGCTGTGAAGCCTTTCTGCGCTGTCTTAGTAGTAAGTTCGTCTTGTGTCATGAGGTGTAATAACTGTTACAATTATATTTCTTTGCTTTCGACTCTACGTAAAATTGAGAGGTAATTTGGGAATACATGTTGAAAATTTGTGGTTTTCAGAAAATATCAAAGTACTCAACACTGCAAATAAAATATTACATTTTATAATGTAATAAAGTATTATAAAATTTTAGCGTATCCCACTGAAAACTCTATCACTTATATGTGGTTTATAGTCCCCTGTTGTAGGTCGCTCTCAAGGGCAGCAGCAGGACAAGAAGCAGTTTGACCTTTTAAGTGATCTTGGCTCAGACATCTTTGCTGCTCCAGCACCTCAGTCAACAGCTACAGCCAATTTTGCTAACTTTGCACATTTCAACAGTCATGCAAGTAAGTGCTTTTTCCCTAACAGCTTTTGCCAGAAAAGTGTGTATAGCACCAAAATATACCCATTCTTTCTTAAACTTAAGTATCAGTAAACATATTCTATTGAAAATGTTTGATCACCCATAGCTATCAAGATGTAATATGTAATCATGTAACTCTGATGCTTTTTAATCACAAAAGAGATTATGTTTAATGTCAGATAGTAACATGACCTACTTGAAAAAAAAAAGATGAGAAAGACTTTTCACTATCTTTTTTTTATCCTTTTATTGTGGGAAATTGCAGATATTCTAAAGTGACCAGATAATGTAACCTTCATATACTCATCACTCATGGTTAATCTGGTTCCACTTACCATTCTACCTGTTTCTTTCTCATGTTATTTTGAAGCAAATTTCAGACATATTTATCCTTAAATATTTTATATGTATCTGTAAAACAGAAGGATTTTGTTAAACATAACCACAGTAGTATTATCAGGTCCTCGATAATAGTAATTCATTAGTCAGTATTCAAATTTCCATTCCAATTCTCCCTCTCTCTCTCTCTCTCTCTCTCTCTCTCTCTCTCTCTCTCTGTCTCCCCACACACACACACAAACACACACACGAATAAGGCCTGCACATTGTAAATGTGAGGTGTGTCTCTTAGTCTGTAGGTTCTTCTTCCATCCCGGTTTTTTCCTCTGTAATTTATTTGAAGAAACCAGGGTGTTTGTCCTGTATTTTTCAGCCATCTGAATTTGTTGATAGCATCACTCTGGGTCCTCTAACAAACTCCTTTCTCCTTTGTATTTCTCTCTCTCTCTCTCTCTCTCTCTCTCTCTCTCTCTCTCTCTGTCTCCCCACACACACACACAAACACACACACGAATAAGGCCTGCACATTGTAAATGTGAGGTGTGTCTCTTAGTCTGTAGGTTCTTCTTCCATCCCGGTTTTTTCCTCTGTAATTTATTTGAAGAAACCAGGGTGTTTGTCCTGTATTTTTCAGCCATCTGAATTTGTTGATAGCATCACTCTGGGTCCTCTAACAAACTCCTTTCTCCTTTGTATTTCTTGTGAATTGATAGTTGCATTTAAAGAGTCGATTAGTCATAGGTTCTTCTGTGGAGAGGGGGAGGTGGTAAAGGGCCAAGCCTGCTGCTACTTAGGGTCCAAGAGGCACATAATAATAGTCATCTGGGTTTGTAATGTTAGCTGTTGATGCTAAATGCCTAGATTCATATGCAAAATATTGACATTCTTAATTTATCTTTCCTTCATTTGTCAGCTGAAATACTTTTTTAAGAAACTGGTTATCCAGTGGTGTAATTAGTACAGAAAAGTCAACATGCGATTGATTCTGATCAATCGTGTATCAGAATGAGTTGATTCCCTAGCATTTTTAAATGGTGACCTGTTTTTTGCTTAGTATCATAATGAAATCATAGATACCATTTTGTGCATCTGAAGTTTGTTGTCATATTTTTATTGATGCTCAAAATCATCCCATCTTTGGCATAGGAATATCTTCAGGTTGGCACCTGAAGATATAAATCCTTTGTTATTCTTAGATTTAACTTTAACGTTTGTCACAGTGAGTTCAATGCATTTCACCAGAAATTAGTAATTATGGAGTTTTAGTTTGTTAACCATGCAGTCACCTAGGTAATATGAATGGATAAACCATGCAGTTACCTAGGTAATATGTAAAAATTGATAATTGAAGTATAAATATGGTCATTTTTATCTATCTCTAATTGTAGTAACAGTGTCTGAAGTTCAAATGCTGCTTCATCCCTTAGTGTCCATATAACTTTGGGCAAATTATTTAACATTTCTTAATTTTGTATTCTATAAATTGATTTTGATAACTTCCTAAGTGGTGAGGTTCAAATAGATAAGGAGTTTAGCATATTGAAGGTACAATAGTGTTCTTCCTTTCTTTCTCTTATCTGCACACAAACATACATACCACATACATGTGTCCATATATATATGTATATGCACACACCCATACTTACATATGTACACAGGTACATATAGCCCTATGTGTTTAACACAGAGGATCATACTATAGAGTTTTAATCCTGCTTAATCTTTGGATCTTAACTAAGGTTTCTCAGATGGTTTACATTCATTTCCTAATAGCTTGTTAATTTTTTGAGTTTTTACTGTTGTTTTTTTATGCTTCCTTCTACTTTTTTAGAAGGTATGATGTGAACAGTCTAAGACCACATAATGTATTTATATCAGAGATATATGTGGGATCTATTTTGGATGCCAGTAAGCTTTGATGTGCATGTCATAGAAAGTTGAATAAGCATCAAAGCAAATGTCGACTACTAATTTAAAGAATTGATTTTTGTAGCAGTGTTATTTGATAATTTGAAGTTTTGGTTTATATTTTTGCATGTGTGAATAGGGGTATTGGCTAAAGTTTATTATATCTTTGAAAAATACAAGACTATCTTTCTAAAGCATATATTTCACTATTTTATGAGCATAGCAGAAAATATAGCATTGCTTTCCTATTTGTATTTTAGAAGTTTTTTACCTTCTTCCACTCACTTGTGAGATTGTGTTGCTATCTCTTTTCTCCTTCTAATTTGAACACCTGGCTTATAGTTGGATAATCTATAAAGTATATATCATAGAGACAGACAATCTCCAGAAATATGCTGTTTGAAATGGCTTGAAAAATTGTAGAAAAGCTGTTCTCCAGCCACATTTCTGTCTACTAAGCATTAAAGGAACTTTTTAAATATTAATAAAAATTTTCTAAAGACATGTTGCAGAAGAAAATTAAAGTGTAACTTCCATGTTTATTTGTGTACATGTTTGCTTAAAAGAGGCGATCCTTTTTTAAAGGATGATAACAATCTCTTTTTCAGGAGAGATTGTACTGAGAAGTAGGGTAAGAAGTCAGGAAGCCTAAGCTGTTGGGTTTGTGGTAGATTTCCCTTCTGCATAGCTGAGCAGTCACAGTCCGGAGAACCTGGAGACTCTGCAGGCAGGAAGCCTTCTGACCAGATGGACTGCCAGCTCTCTGTTCCCACCTCTTGCTTTTGAATGCTGACCAAGAGAGTTGGAAGAATCAGTTACTGTAGAGTGAACCAATGATTTGTGAATATTCTGCATTTATCTCAATTTCAGGTTTATTGAAATATAATATAAAATGACTGATAAGTAACTACAAACTCTTCTGTAAATACTCAACTCACTTAGTGTTTCTCTGTGCTTTTGCCTTTTAAAGCAATTTGTGAATATTCGTAGGTCCGGAAATTAATGTACTTTTCCATGTAGCCATGTTAGCCTGAAACAGTTAAGTCACTGCAACTCCACAGACCAATTTGTACCATCACTGTACTCATACTTTCACTAAATCCCTTAACATGCTCTTTGAAAAATAATAGCATTATTTAATTGTAGAAGATGTAAAAAAAAAAAAAAACATCTAAGTTTATTAGATTGATAGAAGATAGTAGATGAACTATTTTTGTCTCTTTTCCACATAAGGTGGAAATGTTAGGACAGATTTAGCCCAAAGTTCTTACTTACCAGTTGACTACTCAAATCACCCTTAAAAAAAAAATGTCATTTGATTATAGGAGAATAAAATACAAATGCACATTGCAAGAAGAAGCTAATAAAATAATACATTTATTTGTATAGTATAGTTGTTGCTATCTTTTATATTTTACCTCATGGTAGCCTTTTAGGTATAAATCAGTGTCGTGGTTCAATGTGAAGTGTCTTTTTCCAGAGCCTTTGCAGCTCTCTGAAGCTTTATTTTTCCATATATGGTTCACAATTTAAAAAGTTATTGATAGCTGACTTTGTGCCCTGAAATTCTCATGTTTTAAAAAAGTGTATTAGGTGAAAATTTTCTCCTGAACAGATTGGTGTGACAAATGGAGCCTTTAATAGCAAATGATAATTACTCAGCTCTACCAATCTGGTTAGCATTGTTTTGTAGGGAAACCTTTACAAATAGGTTAATGGCTCAAAAGCCAGAAGTCTTTACCGTTCATCTGAACACTGTGGCTGAGATGGTGTATGTGGATGTGTGTCACTGGTGGGATCATTACTACGTTCAGAAAAAGTCACCTTCAACAGAAATATGTATGCAGTTAGTGATGTGATATACCTACAGAATTTAATAGTTCTTTTGCCTGTAATAACCATATCGCAAAGTCTGTGAACTGTAAACTGTAATAGATTTTTGTCAAACTTTATAAGATGGATGTCAAACTTCATTGCCTTGCCACCCAGTTAACAAAATGAGTAATATAATGCAGAGTGGGAGAAACCATGGTGCCTTTTTTTAAGGGGGATATTCTAATCTGTTGCCACATGGAAATTCAGGCTCAGAAATATTAGATATATTGATTTTAAAAGAAGAAAGAAATCTTGTTTATATAACATGAAATGTTCTCTTTAAATGTTGGGGATTGATAAAAACAAATTTTAATTTGTATAGGTAAAACAATGTATTTGTCAGCTGCATTTGAGGAGGACTGCCAGTTTCTATCCTCTGGTCTCTACATTTTCTAACTTTCTTAGGAGTACCTATTTCTCACTGAAGAAGAAAGACAGCTCCCAGCAAGATTCAGGCTCATAAATTTGGTGCCTTAAATTCTAAACCTAGTTGACTCCTTTGTACTTTTTGAAGTAAGATTATTTTAAAAGCATCTTTACTTTTGTTGCACATTCTGTATAGTGTGGATTTCTTTGTGTAGAGATTGCTTGAGATTCCAGACAGCAATTTTTGTATTAACTGAATTTTATTAGTGTTCAGTTTCCAAAGTTATATTTACCAAAGTTCTTTCCACAGCACTTATACATTCTAAAAGGTACCAAAACCAATTGTTGAGGCTGTGAGTAGATCCACTATCTACAAATAAAAGCTGATGGGAGTATTACAAGTCCTGTCTTGCTATAATAAACAGGTGTTTGATGAATGTGTTCAGTGCTCCGGTTGGATAACACTGACAAAATGGAAATGTGATAAAATAGAGTTGACCAACAAAATAAATTGCATTGAACTGATTTTTTTTTCCTGATGATGTTTCAAACATGTTAAATGTGTACTTTTGCCCCTGTAATATTCTCAATATAAGTTAAATGTAGAATATGTATTTTTAGTATTACAGACTATATATGGTTGAGGGTAAAAGCAATAAACTAGCTTTTTAGGGACCTTATTCTTTTTTCATTTGTTCTCAGATGCACAATTAAATTGTTTATAAGAACTTAGAAATTTGCCTTTTGGAATATAACCTACTTTGAGAACTTCCTATACCATCTTCTTTATTCATTTGGATTATAGTTGTATTTATATATTGTATATTTTGGCCTTATACATTTATTTTGTCTTTCAGTAGTATTTTCTTCTTGGCCTACTATCTCAAAGCTCTTAAAGAATTTGTTCTTGTCTCCTAAGTTGTAGAATCACAGTGCTGGATTTGCAAGTAGAGACCTAGTGAATCCCCTCACTTTACTAGTGGGAAACTGGTAGAGGCATAACAAGTGAGAGATGTCAGGATGGAATTCTCTCATTCTTACCTCAGATTCCCTTTTCACTAAACTGTGCTTGCTTTCTGCTGTTCTCAGCAATGCTAATGGTAACTGTTAAACTTGTACTATATTTACTATTTAAACTTGTATAGATGTTTCTATGAAAATATTTTTCAAGAAACTAATTTTTAATTTGTATTTTACTGTTTCTTCCTTATACTTATTTTTGGGAAAGTAAGATTTCAGCTTATAAATAAATTGAATTTTATCATCTCAGGTAAAAACAGTGACAAAAGATTACAGGGTATCCAGAAAATATAGAATTTCTACTGTTAAGCAGGAAGCATTCTTTCAATTTAGGTACTTCTGTGTACTGTTAGAGTTACAGGGTAAACACATTATTGAAAGATGTTCAAGAATGAAATGTGAGCAGTGATATGTGGGATGGTACTCCACATGTCAGAAGTATAGGTGTGAGCCCATAAGAAGTGGCACAGGTGTCTAATGAATGGAGGTCTACTTTCCTCCTTGATGTCATATACCTTTTTAGGTACACATACAGTAATTACATAAAATGCTGTAAGTTTTCTTAATTTTCTAAAAGAATAAGGTTTTATGTTGTTAATGGAAAAATGATAAACTCAGGTAAAGAAGATAACTATCTGAAATCCCACTACTTTAAAGTTGACTAAAATACAGATTTTTTGTGCCCATAATGCCATGTTAAAAAATATTGGCCCATAAAAATGTTATCTGGAATTTGTTAACTTGTTTATCTTATTTTTCATAACATTTTTGTTACATGTAGGACCAAATATTCTTCTACATGATTTTTTTAAATGGCTGCATTCCATTCCATTATATGATGTTCTACAGTGTATTTAAACGATTCTTCATTGCTGGGCATTTGAGTTTTTAATTTTTTCATTACTGTAAAACACATTGTTTAGCTGTTAGATACAGTCATACTCATTTGTAAAACTTTTTTTACAGGAACTTCCTAGAAGTAGAGTTGCCTGTAAAGGATTTAAAGTACCCATCTTTTACTAAGTTGATGACATTTAACATTTCTCTATCTTCTGGACATGCTTTTCATTCTTAGACTAAGCATTTCCTTTCCTGCATACCAGCCATATATTATTCTCATCATATCCTCTGTAAGACTCTTACCCAGTATCTGTTCCAGCCTTTAAAAAAATATCTTTTGAATTGTTTTATTAAATATTTTAAGTTTAGAGAAACCTAGACTTTTGCTCTTAGGTTGATGACCAGTTGGGAAACACCAATTGGTTTTTTTCACTGAGTATGAGGTGTACTTAGGTCATAATATTGACTAGTTTTCATCGTTTCTTAAATTTTAATGTTTGAAAATGGTAGGCTTCTAATAGAATGTGCGTATCTTCAGTTTATTTGGTGATGATGTTCTTGTTACACATTTCAGGTTCTGTTGTTTTTTTTTTTCATTTTTATATGCCATTGTGTAACATAGCTATAAACTTTAAAAAAATTAATATATTAAAACAACCTTAGTATCACTATTCTAGATTCACATAGCTGTTGAAATTACTTATTGCTATTTTAAATCTGAATTTTCCAGAATGTATTTTATGTCCTACATCTCTTTTATAGTAACTCATGTATTTAGTGCTCTTAATTCAGTTTCCTTAATAGAGTCACTTTTACAGTACTATTCCTGAGGTCACTCAAAGGGTATTGCATACAAATTTATCATTATACAAAGTTGTTTTTTGCAAAGTTCTGGAAACCCTTCAGAAAATTGCTTGAAACTAGGTTAAATCACTGGTAGGATTTAAAATGTAATTTCTAAATGAATTCTCTTTAAAGAGTTATGAAAACATAGAAACTTTTTATACAATTATTAAATTCATTGTCATAATTTTCCTTTATAATTTTCATATTCATTAACGTATATTGTTCCTTACCATTTACAGCTCAGAATTCTGCAAATGCAGATTTTGCAAACTTTGATGCATTTGGACAGTCTAGTGGTTCGAGTAATTTTGGAGGTTTCCCCACAGCAAGTCACTCTCCTTTTCAGCCCCAAACTACAGGTAGAGCTTCTCCAGCATATGCATAAATGTTTATTTTACTACACAAAATGAAACTCTTTAGTTGTAGTTTTGAAAAATTAAACTTAAGTTCTGTAATTATCTGATTTTAAAACAGTTCTATCTTACAAAGCTCTGGGGAAACCTGAAATCTTTATTTTTCCCTGTGTTCATTTGTTTTTCTGATCTCTGGTATATTGTCTAATTCACATCTGTTCTCCTTTTCCTGCACATGACTCTTCTTTAAATTTCTCATGCACAGAGGCATTGAAGTACCAAAAATTTTTTAGGTTCACAGAACACATTGGCTCTGAATGACAGAAGCTAATTGATTATTTCCATAGAACTAAAAATGTCAGTAATTTTCAGGGCAACAAGTTCGAGTAAATATTGTTAAGCATAGATTATTTAACAGTCGCTTTAAACAAACATGGAAAATAGTTTTCTGTGCAGGAATTGGTCTTCAAGCATTGAATACTCTCCCATAAACTATTGTTTTTAGAAACTCACTGAACCCTTGTTTGTATCTTGGCTGATTGCTTTTCTTTCAACTTTTAACTGTGTACTGTCTTAGCCTTTTTTTTCAATTTTCATTTCTTTTTTTTTTTTCATTAAATTTCATCATTTTCATAATTTCTGGCTGTCCAGCACTTAGAATGCTTTAATCTAGCTGCAGTTTTGGTGAATTTACTTAAGCTTTTCCTCTCCAGGCTACCAACAGTAAGTTCTGTTGTTAAGCAGACATCTTTTACTAATTTGTATGTTTTGTGCTATATTTCATGGATTTTCAGTTCTAAATATTATCTTTTGATGATAATTCTTTATAAATTCCCACTTTTATTCCCTCTTCAATATTACTAAACTCCGCCTTAGAGAACACATTATGCGGTAAAAGGGTTAGTTGATTAAATAGCGTGAAATATGTGTCTTCATACAGATTTTGAAAGCTTAGTATGTACTTCGTTTACTAGCCATGTGTAACAGATCATAATCATTTAAACACAAACATTACTTAGTTTGAATTGAAAACTGGAGTTTAATTCCTGAAAGAAATTTTATGAGTATATATTTTAGAAAGTCTGAAAAACTGATGAAAGTGTGTGTGTATGTGTGTGTGTGTTTTAAAGGGGTGTATCTTTTCTGTTTTTAAAATAACTAAGTGTGCTTTGCTGTTACTTCAGTGTATAACTATATGTATATACTATTTTAATTCCTGAAACCAGTGTTTAGGCATAAAGAATCAGTATCAGAAGTGTAGCAGTGTAGCATCAAGGTTTTAGTCTTGGTAGTACTTTACTGAAGTCTCTAGAATGTAGAACAGTCTTTTAAATCTTAGCAGGATATACAGTTGAGCCTTGAACAGCATGGGGGTTAGAGGTACCCAACCAACCCTCAGCACAGTCGAAAATCTGCCTATAACTTTTGACTCCCCCAAAACTTAACTACTAATAGCCTACTGCTGACCAGAAGCCTTACTAATAACATAAATTGGATTAACACATATTTTCTGTTATATATATTACAAGCTATAGTCTAACAATAAAGGAAGCTAGAGAAAAAATGTTTTTATAAATTGTTGCAAATCTCCAAAAAAATTCTGATGTATTTATTGAAAAAAAATCTGTGTATTGAGTGTACCTGCGTAGTTCAAATCCATGTTGTACAAGGATCAGCTGTATACTAGCTGAGTTGTGCCCTATAAAGTCAGAAATTGCTGTAATATTTAAATTACTTAGATATTATGTACCATAATTTTTATTCCTTGAAGTATGTAATAGGGCATGATTTTACTAAGGACATCATGGTGTTGTATGTACCTTAAATTACCATATAGAATTAAATAATAGCTCTTCAAGTAAAATAAGTCTAAAGCTCAAAGACCACCTTTTAAGATATTCTGAATCAAATTGTATATCTTAAAACAAGTCTCTGCTCTGGGATTTGTTTCAACCAAGTCTTCATGGAGCTATAAAAGCTTGTAGTGTAAGATACTTTGTATCTCACTTGTGAAGTTTGGGGAGAACTAGTAAAAGATCATAGTATGTAGCAAATGTTTTATAAGCATTCAGCTGTATTAAAGTTTTATAAGTAACTGAATTTCAAAGCAAGTAACATGGAGTTACTCCCCTGTGAATTATATTTTTCAATTCGGAGTAGATAATTACACATAGAAACTTGTTATCATACATGTTGCCAGGGTCTTTGAAAATCTAGTTTTGCAAATTATAAAAAATCATGTGTAGATGACTAAAGTTGAATGCCATTTACCAGTTACTATTTTTAAGAATATAGGACTGCTTATAGAACGCTTAATTTAGGAAGAAATTATCATATATATAATCTAACAGAGGATATTGGGGAAAACCTAGAAATTTCAAGTATTCTGTTTATTCTGTTACAGGTGGAAGTGCTGGATCAGTAAATGCTAATTTCGCTCATTTTGATAACTTCCCCAAATCCTCCAGTGCTGATTTTGGAACCTTCAGTACTTCCCAGAGTCACCAAACAGCATCAGCTGTTAGTAAAGTTTCAACAAACAAAGCTGGTCTACAGACTACAGACAAATATGCAGCACTTGCTAATTTAGACAATATCTTCAGTGCTGGGCAAGGTATCAGACTTTAAGCAAAACAAATACAAATTTGTGTATTAAACAGTCCCTTTAAATTTGGTTGTATTTATTAAAATGTGAGGATGTTAATGTTTTTCTTGGTTGTATAGAAATTTTGTCTATACTGAGTTTTCATGACTATTTGGTACATTTGGGATCTTGAAGTAACTAAAAAACCGAAGGCTTAGAAATGAGTTTGTAAACTTACAGTTAAAAGAAATAATTGACAATAATTTAGCTTGTCTTACAAAGCATGCTGTATGTCCTAAGGTCATAAAGAGCCAAGAAATGCTGTGAGTAGGGCTAATTGGAGGGTTATTTGCTAGTTTCTGTCCAATATATTCATATTGAACCATTTTCTACTAATACCTTGGTATTTATTTTTAAAAACCAAATCCACGATTTTTACAGTGTATTTTTATACCCAGTTTTGGTCTTAAGGCCAGTATTTTGATTCTCGAAAGGTATAGTGCAGTGGGGAACAGCAGGGGCCTCCTTTCATACTGGGTTCTGCGTCCCGTTTTCAGAGCCTGCTTTTTTATCACGAAAATGTGGAGAGTAATAACATTGAACTCACAGAGTTTTAGTATATATGTTTTTGCGTGTAAGGCGTTTAGAACACTGCCTGGCACATAGTAAGTGTTCTGTAAATGTTTCCTCTTATTACTACTTCTAATGTTTTCATGGGCAGCCCTGAGAAAATGATATTATTAGTACGTTGTTCATGTCAGAATCCCACATTTTATGAATTTATATGTTGACTTAAGTGAGATGCACCTGTCTTGGAAGATGTTAATGCAGCACTTTGAGAATTTCTTGTTCATGAATGATCTAGACATGTTATTGGTACAGAGTCCTAGTTTTGTTACAGAAACAATATTCTGCCTTTGCTACAGTAGTATGTAGCACAGCTAATCTTGTCCACTAGATAAGAATCTGTAATGCTGTCTATTTATTTGCATTGTTCACACCGTTTTTTAATTTACATGTGTTTCATGGCAGATATGGTTAAGTTGAAACCATTGCCTTAAAATTTTGGCATAATTTGTTTTTGTTTGTTTACAGGTGGTGATCAGGGGAGTGGCTTTGGAACCACAGGTAAAGCTCCTGTTGGTTCTGTGGTTTCAGTTCCCAGTCAGTCAAGTGCATCTTCAGACAAGTACGCAGCCCTGGCAGAACTAGACAGTGTTTTCAGCTCTGCAGCCACCTCTAGTAACGCGTACACTTCCACAGGCAGTGCTGGCAGGTACTTTGTCATAGGCAGTGCTTTTGCTTTGTGTTTCTCCTTTTAATCTTTTCTTCACCTCTGGATAATAGTGTTAAATAATGTCTATTTTGGAGTATAATTTTAAAATTTTTGAATATTATTGTTTGAGGAAAATAATTTGCTAATTAACATATAATCCTTGAGTAATTGCCATCATTTTATGTCTTTAGTGAAAGGTTTTGTTACTTCCCTTGAATACTACACATCTCAAAATGGATAGTTATGTTCAGATTTAATTGTACTGAGCAGATAAGCCATTTAACAAATTATATATATTGTTTTCAGTCATGAAGACTAAACACTGCAAGTAACATGGTATAACCTTAGTTATAAATAAATATTTTTAGAAATGTTTACACCAGAGCTCACGACCCAATTCTGTATCTCTTCAGTGTCATACTGGTATTTATAAACTGTCACTGTGCTCAAACACACCTGGTATAAAGGAATTCTTGGCAGCAGGAAGTCTAATACATTTTAACAACATTAGATCTTTAAAAACTCTTGTAGTTTTTGACGTTTTCATTTTAGTTAAGGAAAGTACAGATGGCTTACTGTACAATGTCTTACCCATCTCTTTGTTTTCCCTTGTCTCTTCTTTTGTTATCTGAATACTCTTTTATTTCCCTTTAGTCCACTTTCTAGAGAGAGATGGTAGGATTCTAACACTATCTGCTTGGGTTCTCCAGTAATATGAATTTTCTATATGCCAGATGGGAAAAATTGAATCCAGATAATAAAGTTCAGTGTATTTCTTTTGTTTTTCATTATTTTTTACATTAGACGTAGTAGTGGACTACAAACCAAGGTGACCATAAAGTCTGGAAAATAGGTATATGTAAAAATGGTTTCTTGATATTACATTATAGTACTTAAGTGGTCCATGGTACAGAATGTGGTCCATGGACTGTTTGGGGTATCTGAGACACTTTCAAGTGGCCTGTGAGGTTATAACTATATTCATAATAATACTGAGAGGGTTTTTGTGCTTTTAATAATTGACATTTTTATTGATGTTGCAAAATAATGGCAGGTAAAACTTGCTATTACCTTAGCATGAATGAAGGCCATTGCATCCAGCTATACAAGTAGTCATCTAATAGTTACCATAGTCTTACCACCACAGTTTTGCTTAGGAATATTCTTTAGTTTCTCTTATGAATATTCTTTTTATTTTTTATTGAGATACAGTGACATACAACATTTTATTGATTTCAGGTATTATACAACATCATGGTTTGATGTTTATATACACTGCAAAGTGATCACCATAGTCAGTCTAGTTACTATGTATCAACTTCCAAGTGTGTACTGCGGTCTTACTGACTATATAGTCAGTGCTGACTTACTTATTTTATTCTTATGATTATTCTTGATGAAACAGTAAAATTTAATTTTATTAAATCTTGACCCTTAAATAAGTCTTCTTAATTTTCTGTGTACTGAAATAAGGTATGCATCAAGTAGTTTTGCATCCTGAAGCATGGTGGTGGCTTGGGGAACATCAGCTTGTGTGGTTTTTTCAGTTATGGAAAGAACCCTATCCACTTGTTCTATAGAACACCATTTCCCCTTGAAAGTTTGATAGACTAATCATGGTTATTCAGATTTGGGTGTTAGCAGATAAGAAAAATAACGCACACTTAGTGAATTAGTTCCTTTTGATTTAGAAAATATAGTTACCATAAACATGTTACTTATGTTAGCAAATGGCTTTATTGTTATTTTTAAGTGAATAAAATTTTTTAAAACTTCTGTTTTAATTTCTGTATAATATTGAGAAATGTAGCACACAAAAACAAAGGCTCTTTGGGGTTCTCCGTAATGTTTCAGAAGGTAAACAAGACCTGAAAACTGCTATGATACATGATATGTTCCATATTATCTGTTTCCTCATTTGATTTATATGTAGATAATCTTTTTTTTTTATAAACAGTGTGAACTCTAATATTTGTTTCCAGCAGTGTTTTTGGAACAGTGCCGGTGGGTGCTTCCGCCCAGACACAGCCTGCTTCTTCAAATGTGCCTGCTCCATTTGGAGGTATATGTTTCTGGCATATATGTATCTGGGGTATATATATATGTTTCTATAAAAAGCACAAATGCATATTGTGTAGCATTTTCTTAGAGGTGCTGGAAGACAATCAGAGTAATGATTTGTGATCAGAAAGCTTTATAAATGTATATCCTTATAAATATATGAACAAATATTTTAAGTAATTGAATAAAAATATATTAAGATTTTATAGTGTGTTTTATAACTTTTAAAGCTACGCCTTCAACGAATCCATTCGTTGCTGCTGCTGGTCCTTCGGTGGCATCTTCTACAAATCCATTTCAGACCAATGCCAGAGGAGCAACAGGTAAGAAATAAATTCAGATTATAGAACCATAAGCTTTGGAAAAGGTATGGCAAAGACACCTTGTGAAGGACATCAGAAAATAAGGTTCTTCTTTCTTACTGAAGTGAATGGAAGTTTGGCCATAAAGATATATACTAGTTTATAAAATCCTGGAATTTAGTGTTTGAGAGCGACCCTAGTAGCTGTCTGGTGTCCACCATTCTGGTCAAAGCTTTCACTGTCAGGTGAGGAAGTCCAAGACTTCCTTTGAGCCACATAGCCCATTTATGACTCAGATGGACTGGAATACAGTAATTCTGATGTACTTGGTCATCTGGTTTCAGAATTCCCTGTTATAACTCATTCAGTCTTTTTAGAGAACATTTAAGAGAAGTTTTGTTTTCTTCCTCTACAAGGTTGCAAAGGAATGAGGGGCTTTGTTATGTAAGGTATTACTAATTGGGTCTTTTTCTAGGGCATATCTCTTTTAGTGTGTGAACATTTTCTAAGTTGTGGGAACCTGATTTAATTTTTTAAGTAATTGAATAAAAATATATTAAGATTTTATAGTGTGTTTTATAACTTTTAAAGCTACGCCTTCAACGAATCCATTCGTTGCTGCTGCTGGTCCTTCGGTGGCATCTTCTACAAATCCATTTCAGACCAATGCCAGAGGAGCAACAGGTAAGAAATAAATTCAGATTATAGAACCATAAGCTTTGGAAAAGGTATGGCAAAGACACCTGGTGAAGGACATCAGAAAATAAGGTTCTTCTTTCTTACTGAAGTGAATGGAAGTTTGGCCATAAAGATATATACTAGTTTATAAAATCCTGGAATTTAGTGTTTGAGAGCGACCCTAGTAGCTGTCTGGTGTCCACCATTCTGGTCAAAGCTTTCACTGTCAGGTGAGGAAGTCCAAGACTTCCTTTGAGCCACATAGCCCATTTATGACTCAGATGGACTGGAATACAGTAATTCTGATGTACTTGGTCATCTGGTTTCAGAATTCCCTGTTATAACTCATTCAGTCTTTTTAGAGAACATTTAAGAGAAGTTTTGTTTTCTTCCTCTACAAGGTTGCAAAGGAATGAGGGGCTTTGTTATGTAAGGTATTACTAATTGGGTCTTTTTCTAGGGCATATCTCTTTTAGTGTGTGAACATTTTCTAAGTTGTGGGAACCTGATTTAATTTGAGGTATTTTTCTCTTTGAATATTTTGAATATTTTCTGTTTGGTAATTTTTTTTTCCCCTTATCCTCTTTATCCCTCCCCCTTTTTTCTTTTGGTTCGTCCTGCAAATCAGCCACATGTTTCTTAGATCGTACCTCTTTGCATTTTGTGTTATTACCCTGGACACCAGAGGTTTTTACCCGTACCTCAGAGTGTCAGCAAGTGTATGTGCTATGGCTCCATACCCGTTAAGTCTAGAGTTTGTCAGCTTTGTTTTTGCATGTATGTCCCAATGACTTTGAATTAAAGCCTTAAACTCCAATTACAGTGTATGCTGGTGTGTAACCTGGAGTAAGGTGCTTCTGACATTACAATTAAATTTGCACCATTAAGAATTAGTAATTATTAGCAAATCTCTTTATTACTGTCAAGGTCAAGAATTGTGATATTAGGAGTTTGAATTATAACTTTCCTTTTCACATAGAAAGCCTTTAGTTATAATTTGTTGGTTTCTCACATATTTAATAAGTATTTTAATTTCACATACTTTAATTTTTAGGAAGTGGGTTTTAATTCAAGTATATTTAAGTAATGATTGTTTTAATTTCTGTTGTGTTTTGGACAAAAATGTTGTAATATTTATCGATTGTAATATATGTATTGCTTTCGTTTTTTAACATTTTATTTAGAGTTGGTAGAATGAACTTGTATAATGTTTTGTGACACCTGGAGTTTTATATGTTTCTTTATGTAATCCCCTTAACTCACCAAGTAAGTGTTCTACTTACTCTCTGACAGCTGAGGGAACTGAGGCTCAAAAAAATTAAGTGACTATGTTTTAAGTACAGCTAGACTTGTGTTCAAACCCTGATTTAGTATTTACTTGCTAGGTAATCCTAAGAAGGCTTTTTGTGTATATATATTTTTTAAGGAAATGGAGTAAGAATGACAGTATTTTCATTTGCTGAGTTTTTAAAGTTATTTCTAAGATTCTTAATAGGTGTTCATAGCTATTATAACCCCATTTGATAACTGAAGGATAGAAACTCAAATTGTACTTTGACTGAGGTTGTGCTGATCTAACGTCCCTGTTATGTTCTTTTCTGTTGAATGAGAATATTCTCTGACTGGCAGGGTTGTTGTGAGAATCAGATGATACAAATTCCTGGACACAGTCTTGACTGTATTGTGTACACTTGGCGAAACTTGCCTGTTATTTTCCTTCTATGACCCTTAGTTAGTTTTGTTATTGGAGTTAAAGACTTTTTTTATTTAGAGTATGAAAGTCCTTTAAAATTAAGGTTCTACATAAGATACAAAATAACACAAAATGTACAATGTATGTCCAGTTGATGTGAAGTAATTTTAGTATTAGCCCTAGCAAAATTTATTGGAAGGTGAATCTGTGTCCACACATTTTCACTTCAGGATAAAATATTTGCCATTGTAAGTCATTTTGATGTATGATGTTGATTGCCTTGTTAGGGTTATTACTGAATTGACTAAATGAAAGTAAGTGTTAGCTACATATGTTTTAATTGAAGCTGAAATTTAAACAAATACACTATGACACAAATGTACACTTTGACAAATACACTACACTTAGACAAAAACTTCCAATATTTTAAAACCTCAAAATTAATATTTGTCTTTCAGAAATGTTTTTTTGTTGAGGTAGCTTTCGAAAGGTATTACATAATAGTTTTATGTGAAATTAAAAGTTTTACTGATATAGTTCACTCTTAAAATACACATTTTAGTTTTCTTTCTGCATTTACAAAGTTTTGGGACTCTTAACTTTCTTTTACCATGTTACATAGAAACTTGAATAAGACATTAGCCAATATGGCTTAAGATCTTTTTTAGCTTAGATTCTGTAATAGTCAGCATTCTTTTTTCAGAGCCCATGAGTCTTTAATTATTAGAGTTAATATAATTTTCAATTATTAGGAAATGATTTTATAAACTCAACATCTCTCCTACTCCTCTAAACCAACACTGTTTCACTGGTTCCACTCATTCCACCTGTAGGAGTATAGCCAAGAAATGAAAGTACATATCCACACAAGAACTTGTACACAAATGATCATAGCAGCACTGTTCATAATAGCCCCAGTGGAAACAACCCGTATGTCCACAGCTGACGAATAGGTGAGCCAAACGTGGTGAGCCATGCAGTGGGTATTCACAGTAGGAAGTAATGAGGTGCTGATAGATGCTGCAACATGGACGAACCTTGGGAACATTAGGGTGAGTAAAGGAAGCTAGTCACAAAATGCCATGTAGCATAGGATCCCATTCATCTGATAAATCTGGAATAGGCAAATCTGTAGTAGAGGCAAAAAGTAAATGGGGCAAAATGGAGAGTTATAGCTGGTAAGTATGGAATTTCTCTTAAGGGGATGAAAATGTTCTAAAATTAGACTGTGATGATAGTTGTACAACCCTGTGAATATATTAAAAAGCATTGAATTCTGTACTTTAAGTGGAGAAATTGTGTGATAAGTTCATTATATCTAGAAAAGCAGTTTTTAAAGGTCTAAAAAATCTTACAGAAGCTCAGGACTAGAGCTTACTTAGGAGGGAATCATTGTTGCCGACTGAGGTACAGTGATGAATACTGGTGAGCAGTCACTGTTGACTGAAGTCATTTTTTTACCAAAGTGTATTTTGTAGGACATGTATCCTGAGATGTTATTAGTACTCCACAGAAAAGGGTTCTGTATCCAAATACATATGGGAAATGTTGGTATAAACCAAATTAAACCATTATTATTAACGCAGGACTTCACAGAGCCTTCAGTGTGCTCTAAGACAGGAGATGAATGAAGTGACCAAACTTGTCCATCACAAAATCCTTCCCCCTCAGTTAACCTTTTGTTGAATTCAGAACACAGTATTTAACAATATGTATTTTTAACTTAGCAAGAAAAATACATTCATTGAATATTTACAGCATTTCTTAAATTCAACACTTGATAAATTTAATCTATACAGCAGCCTTGTAAAGTAGATGCTGCATCCCTAGCCCTCCACCCTCTATCTGCAGATAAGGAAACTGAGGCTTATAGAAGTTAGGTAATTCCCTATAGTTAGAAAATGACAGAATAAAGGCTCAGAACTACTTCAGTCTCTCAGTCACTTCATTGCCCTAAATTTAATTGGTTAAGTATGCTAATTCAAAAATGTGTTGACATGTAATTCAGAAATGGCCCCACTCTTAGGTGGTTAAAATAAAGAGGTTCTATCTAGTACTTAACAACCTACATTTGTTTTCTGTTAATTACATTTATTTTTATGTAACCTCTCTGACCTCAGTCATACCAGGTGAGTAAGATTTGCACAGTATTCACTTTTCTCTCTTTCAGCCCTTATATTTTAAACTGAGAGTTCTGTTCACCTTTCTTATAAACTGCATTGAATAATCCCCCCCTTGTAATATTTAATTAGCTCTTTTGAGTTATCTTTATGTATTTCTTGTTAGTATACAGAGTTGTAAATAAAACAGTCAAGCATTATTCAGGTGCTCTCTCCAAGGTTTGACTTCTTAAATGCTAAAGGTAGATGCTGTATCATTTTAGATGATCCTATGAATAGCATTTTTGAGTGTAGCTCATGAGACCTACAAACAATTTTTATGGATATAGTTGTATCTTCACATGTAAAAAATACTCATGTTTGTTTAAAAATAGATTTCATAAATGTTTCATTTTATATTTCCTCTTCTGTTATTTATTAATGCCCTCAAAGTGTAAATATTACAGTGTCATAAATGCAGGTGGAATAAAAAGACTGAATGTGTTATTATGTATTCTTATGCTATCCACTTTGTAACAGTACATTGTAATTTTAGAACTTTTAAATGAAATGAATTTACTTTTATTTTGGCAATAGTTCTTCATGAGTTAATTGACATTGGTTTCTCTATGGCTTTCCGTAAGGCCTTTCTGGAGCAATGCATTCTCAAGTGTTTCCTCACGCTCATTTTGGTAGGTGGCCACAACTGGTACCTAGATTTGTGTGGCAATTTGTCTACCCGCTTGTGGAAGCTTCTGCTAGTGTTCTCGATCCCTGCATGTGGAATTAAGTTTTTTCCATGTTTTGAAATGGAGTGGGCATGGATGTGTGGCATCGGGATCATATTTAAAGTTACATGAAAATCTTTTGTGGTCATTTATGTTTTAATGCTGAAAAGCATCGTTGCTTACCTCCATGGTCACATTAGAATGTTAATAGCTTTTTCAGTTCTTTTTCTTGAGTTTGAATTCATAGTACTTTGACATACCTTTTCAGTACACCCAAACCATTTTGCCACATTCCATGGAGTTTGGTTTTGCTTAACTGTATCGAAGTTTTGCTTTTCAGTGCTTTCTTAAAAAGCGGTCTGTCAGTCATGTCAGCGCATTGTTGTCTGTGAAACCCTCCCGTCCCCCCTGCAGTGTGCTTACTCTTCTCTGATTCACGTGCTTCCTGGGGGCTTATTTCCCCTTTTTCCTCATCAATAATAGAAAAGTAATTTTAAAAATTTGACATTCTAATTAGGTTCATTGAAGAAAATTGCATTTGTTGTAAGCACTAGGATTAGTTTGGACAACATCTATACATGATTTTTAATTTTTTAAAAATAAGTAATTGTGAGATTTTTAGTATTGGTTTCTGTGTATTAAATCAACAATTAAATTGGTAAATATTTTTTTAAATCAGGAAACTTGGTGAATTATCATGCTTTTGATAACATCACACTAAAAATGTTTCAGTATGTAATTACTACTGTTCTGTTTTAAAAGCAGCATTATTGGCTCTTATTTCCTAAGAACATGTAGTTGGAAGGTTCTGTTTTGAATCTGCACTAGCAAAAAGTAAGATAACCGTCCTACTGTGTTTCTGTAATGCGAATCAGTACATAAGTGATTTGTAAGTCGGGAAATAATAGCAGCATATCACATATGTAGTGGTAGTTCACACAGAGTTCCCCACTGTGAATGCTGTATTCCACCAATAATAGTAACTAGACATAGCTAGCTGCAGAGGTGCGACACCGAAAACAGTGCTCATTTACCCTACATTCCTTGTCTATTCTCAGAATGCTTATTTCCCTTCCTTTGTAGTCTTCATGGATTTTGCCCTAATTTCTGTAACTCAGCAGTCCTAATCTTCCTTATGCCCTTCATCTTCATTTATCTTCCAAAAAAGAAATGGGAGCCCATATATGTCTTTGGGAATTTATTTATTAGGAGCATGTCCTTCTAATTGTGTTAGTGGTTTTTTTAGGACCCTCCCCCTTTTTTATGGCTCTGATTACAAGTATGCATAGGTTTTGAATGGCCTGCCTGTAACCTTGTTTCTCCTAAAATTCTTGTTATTTTTAGTGAGCCATTTTGAAATGGTTTAAAAAATATTTTCCCAGAGTGCACATATTAATGTTATAGCAGACAGTTCGGTAGATAAAATTAAATTATGGGCTACTTTACTGTGTATAGCAAAACAAAAATAAAAAAGTATATTAGTGTATATGTGGAAATTGTATGATGATAGGCTTTAAAAAGTAGACTGCTATTATGACTTGAAATTTAAATAATTACTTTGAGAAGCTTTTCTGTGATTCAAATGATAGCTTTGTTAGTTTCATTCTGGTCATTGGGTTTGAGGAGAATAAAATTTTATAGATTATGTTAAACTGTACAGTGCTAAAACTTACTGCTGACATTATTGGTATTTTGGAATTTAAAATGTCTTTAGTGTACATCTAAATATTTTTTAAGGTAGATCATGTCTATTCTGTAATGCTGAGTATGAGAAACAAAGCTTGCCTTTTGTGTGTTAAGTGACCAGCCCTTCTTTCTTCCTGTCAGCGGCCACCTTTGGCACCGCCTCCATGAGCATGCCTGCGGGCTTCGGCACTCCTGCCCCCTATAGTCTCCCCACCAGCTTTAGCGGCAGCTTCCAGCAGCCTGCCTTCCCAGCCCAAGCCGCTTTCCCTCAACAGACAGCTTTTTCTCCACAGCCCAATGGTAAGGTCTAACATTTGACTCGCTCTAAATTGACATCAGGCACCCTTTATATATCAAAAAGACTTGTCTAAAGAATGCTATAACGTGGTCTATTGAGTGTTTACTACTCAAATATAGAGGTGATTTGGGCCTCAGAAAATTGAGTTACTTAGTAGATTTTTGTAACCAGATCACACTTTTGGGAAGAAATCTGAGATTCTCTAAAGAGTACCTCTTCCTTCTCAGAATCTCCAGTATCTTTCTTAATAATTTGTCTTATTTTCTGAAATGCCTCTTGATTTTAAAAGGAAACTTTATAGACCTGGAGCATTTTTGTTTTCTATCAGAAAATTGTATGCCATTTTGTATGTTTGCTTTTCTTTCTTTCTTTCTTTCTTTTTTTTTTTTTTAGTGACAGACTAATTTTCTAAATAGGTAGCTCTATTGTGGTTAGAGTCTGTCTCTTGTTTTCAGGAAGAGTCACTAGAGACCAGTTTTTTTTAATATACCCATTTTGCTACTTTGCTAAAGTTTGAAAGTCCATAGCTTTGAAAATAATTCTTGAATTACAGTTACATATTTTCTTATTTAAAACCAGTGGTTCGATGAAAATGTGGAAATGAGGTCTATGACAGAGTCATAATGACAAACTGTCTTCTGAGGAATACTGTGATGTTCACATAGTAACCATGTGTTGTCCTCATATCCCCTCTTAGATAGTCACAAGCTCATCTATTGATTAAATCCTTTGAATGTAAGCAATTTACATAGCTGGGACAAATTGGAATTGACCATTTCTGGAGGGCTGTCTTAAAGCTCTTCTAAGACATATCACACAGGAAATTTGTCTCTAGTATTCAAACGAACATGAGACCTGTCAACTTCACATTGGTATTTTATTGTTGCTCTGGTATGAATTTCTCTGAAACTCATGAGGTTTTTATAAGCATCAGATTATCCTTCAAAGGTGAGTTATAATTGGTGGCTCTGTTTTCACAAGGTGCAGGTTTTGCAGCATTTGGACAAACAAAGCCAGTGGTCACCCCTTTTGGTCAAGTTGCGGCTGCTGGAGTGTCTAGTAATCCTTTTATGGTGAGATGAAATTTTAAGTATAAATTGTTGCATGTTACTTTAAAGTGAGGAAAAACAGGATGTGACTCTTCTAGATCCTGTTTGGTTTTCTGCTGATAGGACATCCTAAAATTGTACAAACTGAGGCAACCAGTATACATGATCCATTATGGACTTAAAGAAAAAAACAATTGCAAATCAAAGCATTGACAGTGAATAAGCTATTTTATAACATGAAACTTATTCTACTTTAACACTTTATATGGCTTAAGACCTAGTGAACAGTATGAAAAGGACTTGGAGTCAGATTTGGTTTGAATCATAAATACATTGTTTGTTTTTTTTGGGGTCAAGTGCTTTCTTTTAATCTATTATGAGAATTATATGAAAAGAAATGGATATATATAAAAGACCCAACATGGTACCTGGCATCAAATAGTTTTATTATAATATGTAGTAACAATAATGCATAAATATTATTTCCAATAATTGTGAAATAATTCCTAATCTAAATACTGTTTAATTAAATAAGATTTAATTGAAGTTTAATATTTTCCTATTTTCCACACACAACCACTCTTATTTGTCTATTTTCTCTCATGTTTTCCTATAGACTGGTGCACCGACAGGACAATTTCCAACAGGAAGCTCATCAACCAACCCTTTCTTATAGCCTTATATAGACACTTTACTGGATTGAACTTTTGCGTGGTCACATTACATCTCTCCGCCTCTTGCACTGTTGTCTTGTTTCACTGATCTTAGCTTTAAACACAAGAGAAGTCTTTAAAAAGCCTGCATTGTGTATTAAATACCAGGTAATATGTGCAAAACAGAGGGCTCCAGTAACAACTTTTAACCTGTGAATTGGCAGAAAAAGGTAGCGGTATCATGTATATTAAAAATTGGCTAATATTAAGTTATTGCAGATACCACATTTATTATGCTGCAGTACTGTACATATTTTTCTTAGAAATTAGCTATTTGTGAATATCAGTATTTGTAACTTTAACACATTGTTATGTGAGAAATGTTACTGGGGAAATAGATCAGCCACTTTTAAGGTGCTGTCATGTTTCTTGGAATGAATGACCTAAAATCATTTTAACTATTGCTACTGGAAAGTTACAAAGTCAAAATTGGAAGGTTTTATTCATTCTTGAATTTTTCCTTTCTAAAGAGCTCTGCCATTTATACCTACCCAAATTCTTTAAAAATGTAGAGGGATACCTATCTGCATAATAAAGCTCATCATGTTTTGCTACAGTTTGCAGGTGAAAAAAATAAATATTAGAAAATATGCTATTGTTTTTGTGTTCTTGCTGCAATGCCTTTACCAAAGTGGCCTTAAGTATGAGTAGTGAATTGAGAACATCTTGAATTCTTAAATTACAATTTCAGAAGACTTCTAGTGACTAACTTTTATGTCTAAAAGAGAAAATTTTATAAAAAGGCCATGTAGAAAATTCATGAAAACTACCATGACTGCTGTAATTCAGGAATATGTCAGTGGTAAAGCATTTAAATATAGCTTGTCAGATTCACCATAATCCTTCTAATTTCTCTGCAACTTATTAATTTTGTGAAAATGTGTATATATAAAGAATTTGCATGTATGTGTATTCACAAATTTTTTTTAAGTATCTTGAATTCTCAGACTGCAAAAGGCCTATTTTAACTATGATTTAAAAAAAAATACTGTCTTTGAATGTACTGGAAGCAGACATGCAGTAACTGTGACATAATTGCACCTCAGTTTTTTTTTCCTTTGGATGAAGTAGTATTATTAATAGGACATTTATTTATGTTCATTTCTGGGGGAAAGAAACTGGAACCCAGTGTTACCTTAAAGTTATAGAATACTTTGTTTAAAAAGGCAGCAATTCTAATGTGTAGTTATATCTTTTTGTTAATATGCAAGTGAACTTGTTTAAATATTTATATATAGTAATGCCTCATTCATCCAGACATAATCTGGTGGTCTCATCAAAAGAGAACACAATGGGAAACTTGGTATAATACTTTTTTGAAAAATGCCTTTAAGCAACCCACGTATGTCAGAAAGTCTATACGTTAGAGCTCATGCATATGTTTTTATGTGAAATTCTGATTATTTGATTTTCTAGCCCATAGCATATTAACAGTTCAGAAGTGATGGCTTGAAAGGAAGGCAATAGAAAAAACTATGAAGAGCATACATGATTGAAGACCCTTTAATGTAGGAACAGCCATCCTAGCCTAGAGGACAACACTGTATCATATCATCTTCTGATAATTGGCTATTACTGTGACTCTGTGTCATCCAGAAAAGGTGAAATTACATATACAAATATGTAATACATGTTTGAAAACTTTTATCTTACTTGATGAAGATGAATGATACAAAAATGATTTTTAAATGTTTCTGAAAGCTTTGGCATTAAATGAGATGAACGTCAGTTTCCTCAAATGTTTTACTCATGTTGAGTTCCTTTTCTGGTGGTGACTATGAGTTATCATACTATATTAAAGTCTGTGTCATATTTTAGACTTGTTAAACATTGCTGTCCATTGCATATTTAGCTGAGTGTGTGCTTTATCTTAACTGTTTTGATAAGCAAGAAGACTGGGAAATCTCTGCTTCTTGTCTGAGCAGTATGCCTCTTAGGCTGAAATGAATGCTGCAAAGGTTCAGGTGTGTATTGGTGTATACTTGAAATCTCTACATATATAGGGTCTCCCTCCAACCTTTCTTTTTTGGAGGGAATACTTAATAAATGTCTTTGAATTCCAATGTTTTAGATTGTATTTGGTCCTAGCCAATTCATATGTACAAAATTATGCTATATAATTGTAGGCCATTACCCAGTAACCTGCCAGGCTATCTGTCTAAGAAGCAGATTAAACAGTTGTTATTAAAATAATTTTAAAGAGCTTTTTTTTTTCCTGGGTAAATCTTGAAGTTTGTAATTAAATGGAAACTCTTATTGATTTTAAATGAGTGCTTATAAAAATCAAAATGCTTGGTTTAAGAATTGACCCAGCTTTAATGTGGATTTAAGTCAACTTCTGTTAGACTTTCATATTTAGATTTGGTTCTGGTTTTATATAGATCATCATAATTGTGTTGAGTACTGAAGAGGAGAAATTCCTCAAAGGTGACAAGGCTGAAGACCTTCAAGTTTCCTGGCTTACTGGTGAATCAGATCTCTCCTATCTTTGCTCAGGAAAGAAAATTTTCTTTTCTTTTAGGGTGGCAAACTTTGTTGATGCATTTAAAGGCATATTCTGTTTTCACTTTGGTGAAAACAGAGATTAGAAAATCACATTGTTCCTTAAAGTAATTCCTTCTGTAAATTTGAGTAAGTGTATCAGTCTTTACCTGTGAGTTGCCCTGCTCTCGTCATGCACCTTCTGTAGTACAGTTTCTGTAAACATATAAAGTGGAGAGTGGCCAGCTGGCTGCTTTCGTATCACAGTGCTGACAGCTCTGAAACATTGTGGTCTCAACACTGTAACTCTTAAATTATTGAAGATCCCCGAAGAGCTTTTGTTTATCTAGCTTATTCTATCACAATTTACTGTATTAGAAATTAATACCGAGACATTTATAAAAAAGATTTATTCACTTAAATATAAAAGCAACAAGTCCATTTTACATGTTAATGTAAATATTTTAGATGAAAAATAATTGTTTTCAAAAAAACAGTGAGAATATTGCTTTAGATTTTGCACATCTCTTTAACACCTAGCTTAGTAGGAACAGTTGGATTCTCATACTCCTTTTGCATTGTGATTTCTCCCTATATCATGTGGCATGCTGGCAGTGCAAAACTCTACTGTGCACTTGTGACGTCACGAGTGAAACAGACATATAATATCTTAGTATTATGAAAATAGTTTTGGCCTTGGGTTTTGGAGCTCCGACTACTCTTTGAGAACCTCTATAGTACACTTTAAATGTGTGTGTTTCTGGAAAAACTGTAGTTGTAGGGCAAATACCTTGTTCCTGAATTTGTGTGTTTGTTTGCTTGGTGGAACAAATTGGAATTCCAGCTGAAATTGCACTTGAGACATTTTTAATTGTTTTCTGGATTTTCTTCCTTGTATTTTTTTTTTTTTTTAAGTATTTCAATAATGAGATTGTGAATATCTCCTTTTTAACAGGATATTACAAGTTCTGGTTCATGGTTATTGGTGTTTATGTTGGAATCATTTACTGTTCTGACCACTTTGAAGTTGTGTAATTGTTTTGGAGGAATATCAAGTGTCTATTTAAATTTTTTTTAAACTCCTTGCTAAACAAAAGTTCAAACTGAAGAATAGTTTATCTCTCATTTACAGTTATTAAATATTTTTAGCTTTATATGTATGTGTGTGTGTAGACACACACATACATAATATACATACATATATAATTTTTTTTAATGGAAAGTGGATCCTCTGACAAAAATCATTACCCTCCAGGAAGTCAGCTTATTATGATTAAAAGAATGTGTTTACTTGGTTGTTTCCCTCTGGTGGCTTTCTATACTTAGTCCATTTTTAAAGAAAGCATTTGTGGTTGCTTCTCACATAAAATTCTTTGAAGACATAGTGACTTTTTAAAAAGGTAACTGGAAAGTAGTCTCTGCAGACTCTGGCTTTGCGGCTGTTCGGCATACTCTGAAACATGCCTTCTTGGGACAGTGCCCCATTCCCGCCCCTGGGCGGGCCCTGTCCGTTGTCCACGTGTGTGTGCTCCTGTGCTGAGCTCACCCTCAGAATGACTCACCTCATCTTTGGCTTCCACTTGCGGTCTCAGATTTATATTGGAAAGTTAATCTCTAGGGGACCATTATGAACATACATTTTTTAAAAAATAATGACCTCAAAGCAATGTGGTGGTATTAGGGAGTGTAGTATATATATATATATATTAAGCCCTTTAAATCTATCAGAAACTTACTAGATGCTTTTCATGTATTATCTCACATAATCTTTATGAAGTGGACTCATACTTTAAGGATGAAAGAAGCCATAGAGTGGTTAAGCTAATAACAGAGCTTTTGCTGGGAATAAACGTTTTAGTATGGATTAAAATGCTGTCATGTATTTGTATAAGTAGATGTTACTTAGTTTGTTTTAAAGCTTTTGAAATTCTAAGAGAGTTACTTTCTATATCCTGTAAACTGAATAAACTTAGCCATTTGGGCTCCATTCATAATATGATGAAATCAGTACAGTTTATTTTCTAGAGTTTTATTTAAGCTTACAGATCAGTTAGGTCCTTTTTGGAGCATATTTTAAACTAAAGAGACATCCAAAGTATCACAGTGATTCTTACTTTGTGAAACATCCCAACTTAATATAGTTTGTGCCCTAGATAATTTAAAAATTTGCTTTTTAAAGGATGCTTTTATTAACATTTGTATTAAATTAGCCTATTGTATTGAATTCATCCTCACTAAATTTTTCTTTGAATATTTAAAACATGTCATTAATTAAAATTTTTATGTAGCATATTTGAACATATGACTATATGACCAGATGTAATGCTGTGTTGTTGTACTGGTGAATGATTAACAACTTACTTTCTCATGAAAAAGTGCCTGTTTTAGTGATTGTTGATATTGTGGTAGAAATACTGTGACCATGGCTGATTTCGTTTGCCAACCTGATGTCATTAAACTTTGACTTGGAAAGAGATGCGCACCAGTGGCTCTCCCAAACCCTTACAAGCCAGGACCTGCATGACACTGAGTTCTGTAGCTCCTTCATTAAACTTACTGGTTATTGTATCCAATGTTTGAAGGGTCTTTTGCTTTATATTGTTAATTCAGCCCGCATTTGGACATGAGTTCATTTTTAGAAGTGGACTGGGCATTGAACTATTGTATTTGGAGACACCCAAGTATTGTGTAAACCAAGTCCAGTCATTGTGCTAACTTTAGGGGGTGCACGTTCATAGCATATACTCTGAATTCTGTCTGCAGTAGTGTTTTGTTTGACTAGTATAGTGTTTTAAGACTAGGGTTTTGAGTAGTTTTAAGGGGATTTGCACTGTTAAGGTGGCCATGAGCTTACCACTGCCAGTTTTCTCAGTCTCAAACATTTAAATGTGTTTTAAAGCCTTTGAGTTGGCAAATCCAGAGTCGACGTAAAAGGGCTCTTCCTCTGCCACCTCACACTCTGGTTTTGGAGTCCTGTGTCGTTTGAATTTATGTCACTTTCCAGTGCAGACTGTTGCCAAGAATGTATTCCCTTCCACACCTGATAGCCTCTATGTATTCTACTTATTTTGTGCCAGTGGAAAAGAATTCAGCATATGTTTAGATATGTTTCTGAAATCTGTGCTTGTCTAACTCACAGGGCTGTGGAGTTTAATGAAAACAGAGTGTTGTGATTCAGGCTATTATATAAAGAAGGAAAAGTGATCCTGGATAAAATATTTTGGTTGGTGATTAAAGTGCTCATTGAATTTTTTTTTAATCAGTGATCTGGAATCTTGATAGCTGTTATCCACGTTATAGTTTAATGAGAGTTAAGATTTGAACTATAAATTCTCATCATTTCCCCTCAATCTTGAGGGACTGAGGAAGCAGACATCGAAGGAGCCTTCTAATTTTGACTAAATGACCATTAACTACAAGGCAGCAAACGATTGTTACACAGTCAATGTTTCATAGAGTGCTGTGGGTACAATCAGGTTTTTTAAAGACTTTCAAAGGTTCTTTACATATTATCATAAAATAATACATGCTTATGATTTTTAAAAATTATGCAATATGTAAAGGGTATAAAATGAAAAGGTTATGTCTCCTTCCAGCAACTTCATTCCCATACTCCAGAGGAATGGGATTTCTTGTATTCCTGTATAGTCCTTCCGAAATGTTACCGTATTTTATATACCTGTATATACATTTATACACCTCCTGCTTGTCCTCCTTTATTTTAAATATACAGTTTTGTAACTTGGTTCCTTTTGTTTAACTTGGTTATCTTTCCATATTACCATATCCAGCTCTAAATCATTTGGATGGTTCCAAGATTTCACTATATTATGAATGTCCCTTTTGAAGAACATTTGTTCATAGATTTTTCTACTAAAACATTCTTACGATAAGAATATCTTTATGCATATACGAAGATTAGTCTTCATTCTTCCTCACTGGAAACTCAGTAAAATAGACATCATTGCTTTTGGGGGTCACCAGCTATTTAAGTCTGATTTTATGCTTCCATTTAGGAAATTCTCCCATTTAAGAAAGAAAAAAAAATCCCTCAAATAGACTATCTTAAATATTTGAAAACTCCAATACTTTTTAATTGAAGTTTGAAGGCATTTAGTCAGTTAACTGAAAGACTGGGTGAGTTCGCATCTATTTTGCACCCTAACTTTCCCATTGTCCCTACCCATGATTCTTGGACTAGTTCCTGCTGCTGCTTGTTGGTAGTGTGCCTTTCCTTACCAACGTCAGTTAGATTATACCTTATTGTCAAGAAGAAAAGATACAAATTACGGCAAAATCTATTTTGGCACAACCCCATGTTTTATTCATTATTTCTTCAAAATTAGCTTCCTTTGCCTTAGGAAAGATTTGGGTAATAGCTGAAAGTGCTGCTTCTCATTCTTCTGAGGTTTATAGAGTCCAGAGAATTAGTCAAGGATAGGATGTGCTCTCTGTTTCAAAAACAGGAAAGGTACCTTAGCACTTGAGGCTAGGAGTCAGGGAGCGAGAGAACTTGGAAAAGCCTCAGAGGTTGAGGCTGTTGAGTTAACAGGACATGTTGTGAAATGTGTTCATATGCCAAGATTTATGAAGACCAGAATTAATGCAGGAGGTGGTTTTAGGTATTGGATCAAAAGGTACAGGCTGATTTCAGTATTCATTCCTAAGACACTTTGGGATGGTTGATGAATTTGGTTAATAAGTTCTTGTTCATTGTGTAATATTTATTGGAAGAATTTTTTCAAAATAAAGACTCCTGAATTTGTGTACCATTTGAGAATCGTGTCTTTCCTTTGTCTCATATCAAGACATCTAGAATAATGGAAGGGTGACCTTTTTTCCTCCAGTCATGTACACTATATATTCCTGCAAAGCAGCTCATGCATCAGCTTCCAACTTAACCTTTTCTATTCTGTTAATTATACATTCATAATGACTTCTGACACTTTTTGGTCTTTTAAATTATGAAACATCTGTATTATTTAAAAGCATGTGTTAACTGAATTTACAATATTGATTTTTTTTCCCCCAAAGGGTGATATTTTTTTTTCTTGAGATACATGTTGGTCTAGCTTGGTTTAAAGAGAATATTTATTATAATTAGATTTTACCTACTCTACTACCTATAGAAATTTAAAAGGTAAGTAATGAACTCCTCCGACTGAGTCCACACCCCAGTCTTTTTTTCCTGGTAGTAGTTGTGTATTATTTGTTGTGTATCCGTTCCAGTTATTCTGTTCATTTTTATTATTTAAACTATTTTTGTTAACGATCACCAGAACCCGGAAGACAATTTACTTTCTTTAGAATCAGTATTTCCACCACTGGTGTTCCCTCCCCTTCCCCCTGGGGAGAGAGAACTAATGTTTATTTTAGTGTCACTTATTTAATGAGAAAAGATTCAAATTTTCTTTATCCACATTTTTTTTCTTAAATGGTATTTGATGATTTTTACTGAACTGGAGGATCAGGGCTTTGTGAAAAGCACTAACACAGAGTCACATTTCCGTGGTCCGGCCTTAAGTTCCGCCGTTAACTGGAATGGGCAGGGGATTCAGATGCTTCCTCTTGACGCCTCGTCCAACGGTGAGTCGTGAACCTCGGCCATCTGGGGCACATGCTTGAATTAGAAAGTGATCAGCTTTGGGAATTAGAATTGAACATTTCAGAATACCAGCTGTTAGGTTGGACATACGAAACTGATATTTTTGTAGGACAAAATACCAGATATCAGCAATACCATATACCTTGATGTAGTTACTCTGTTAATTACCAACTTTGTGACATGCATCGTGTATAATTGTCCCAAGTAGTAGTAATTGTCATAGGAAAGTTGACATTTAGGCATTTCCTTGGCCAAGATTATACAGCTGTTGAGTAAGGCAGAAGTAGAATTGTGACTTAAATTCATCCTTTTATCTAATTTTGTGTTCCTACTTTAAACTCCTAGTTCTAGCAGTTTCAATAAGAATCATGGTGTTGAAAAAAAAAAAAAACTTTCACAAACAATGGAAAAGAAACAGCCTTCCTATCCCAAATCATCAATTTTGGTTTTTTTCCCTCTTTATTTTCTCCTTGCCCATATGAGATTTTACATTATTATCACAGCCGGTTAATTTTTCATATTGTGCTTTTCCCACATGACAGTTTTCTTTGAAACCAGAAATACATTTGTAATTTTTTCTGATAGTAAAAATAATACATGCTTACTGTGAAGAATCTGAAATTGCAGAAAAATTTTTTTAATGATAATCCTGTGCAGATAAATTATAATTTATCGTCTGGAGTTTGTTCCATGTGTAAATACAAAGACCTCTTCTAGAACGGAATCATGCTATGCTTACTAGTTTGTAACCTTTTCCTCAGTATCAATTTCAAAAATAGATTTGGGCTGCTTTTAATTTCAAATACGAATCTACATTCTCTTCCAGTGATGTCATTTACATGGATGTCTCATCCGTATGATAAACAGAGATTGGTCAAAGTTTTTAACATTAGAAATTTTACCTATGTTTTGCCCGCTTACAGTTTGGCATGCTTTCTTAGAAATGGAGTTGCTTAGTGAACGATGTCCATCTTGCATACATTTTAAATATGTTCTATATTACTCTGTAGTCTTCATGGTCATTTACTATTTTTCATAATATAAATGTTAATTCCTTGCTGTGTTTACCTTCTTGTATTATTTCTTGAAATACTTAGAAAATAACGCTAATGGTTTATGAGGACTAACATTTTATCCTCTCAACTGAATTAACTATTTAAAGGAATTGTTTTAATTTTTACAAGTAACAAATAGGCAAGTGGCCCATTTTTACTTCAATTTCAAGTTGTCAGAGAGTTTAACGATTGCTGATTTAAGGGATATGAAATAATGCCTCATCCTAATTTCCTTTGACTACTGGTGAGATTGATTTTCCCCATAATTTACCAAGTTGCATTTTCTCATTTGTGAATTGTTTTAAAAGCCAATTTAAAAATATGATTGGCTCACCTGAATTTGTATTTTTATTCACATTCTCTATTGTTTTGAGATTATGGAAGCGCAATTGATTCTTCTATTGCTGATGATGTCATTAACTTTTAGGCTGAATCTCTATGGTAATAGGATCTCGAATCTAGAAAATTGGTAAATTCTACTTTCATCATCTTTTTAAGTCTCAGAAGGATGACTTACTCAGATCCTGTAGTTGAACTTACCATTCAGGCGCAGAGGCTCATCTTTTCTTCCTACTCTGTATTTGCCACACCAGAAATGGCTGTTTTTTTGGGTGTGTTGGCTTCATTATGATGTGTTCTTCGTTACTTTGTGCTTGGAATTTGATGGACTTTTTGAGCCTGGATTTCGTTTTTCCCAAGTCTGCAAGTATCTCAGTATTTCAAGATAGAAACATTTCAAGAGCCATCTGCTCTTCTGTGGTAATTTTTAAGGTTTTTAAGGGAGAAACGTTGTAATGAAGGAACAATAAAAAAATCCTAGAAGAATTTTAAACATTCAAATGTTTATGGTTATAAATAACATTTCAGACTAATTTCCTTGAAGCTATCCCAGGAGAATACGGTAAATGTGTAGAATACTTTATGAGTTTAGAACAGTACAGTTCCTTTTGAGCCTTACTGTTTTTTCCAGTTACTAAATAGACTTGGGAAATTCTCTCAAAGAGAAGTGAGAAGGCCTTCAGGTAAGATGCGCAACATCCTAAACTGGGGGAATTTGAGAACAGAGAAATTTGCAGTCCCAGTGAGCCATTCAGAGACTTCCAGTATTTTGAGTTTCTCCTGTTGAGAAATACCATTAAAGTGCAGAACCATTTTGACTTTTTAAGGGATGTTTGAGAATTACCCATGTAAAAGAAATTATACTAAATGCACTTTGTCATTGTCATAGTAGCCTCCATTTAGTAGGTGTTGATTTGGTGCCAGTTTTTCAAATAATTTTTAACCATTATTTCCTATAATCATCACAGTCTTAAATATAGGAATGATTTCTATTTTATTAGATAAAACAGGCTTAGAGATCGTGGTTGACTTGCTCAAGTAAAGTAGGTGGGGAGACTGAGCTTTGAACCCAACTCTGACTCGACGCAGGTGTTCAGAACCACCCCACCACAGTAACCTGCAGGACCTGACCATCTAGAGAGGGGAGGCTGATGTATCCATAAGCACTAATCAAGGGCAGGGGAAAAGGGACTGGAGAGTAGGAGAGATCTCAGCTCTGCCTGATGTAGACAACAAAGGGTTAGTAGCCTTGGAGTAGGAGAGGGGTAAAAGTGATCAGAAACTGAGGGAGGACGAGGAGTTAAGTGTGTGTGTGTGTGTGTGTGTGTGTCAGGAGCACTTAATTGCACGTACTTCCCACGTTCCTAGGCCATGAGGAACATGGAAAGCACTTTTAGACATGTTTCTAGGAACTACAAGTCAATGCAGAGGGTTATTTTCATCTGTCTAAAAAGGAATTACTAAAGAAATAATGCCAGTGTTGACCCCAACACAGAAAGGCATTAGGTGACGCTGTCAAATGAGGCCAAAGATGTTATCTAGTATTTCATTCTTTGTTCCTTCAATTACTAGGGAGTTTGATCATCTTTCCATGCTTCATGAATTACTATTAAGTGAGATTCATTACTATTTCTCACTATGCTTTTCTTCCAAAATTAGACTCTTTATATATTGATACTAAGTAAAATCACTTCTCTATTGTACAAATGTTTCTATTTTGTTTTTTATGTATAGACGTTTTATGTTTTTACGAAGTCAAATCCATCAGTCTATAGTTTCTAACTTGAATTCATGCTCAAATCCTTAACTAAACCAGTATTACATAAAATTCACCTGTATATTCTCACAGTGTTTTTATATGTAAATATTCAAGGTTGGTAAAATTTTTAAACTTTGGATGAAGGTTATTAGGAATAATAGCCAGAGAGAAAGTTCACACTGGAGGGATAGTATCATACAGTTCTCATGGGAAGTTAGAGGTAAAGTATGTGAAGCTTGTGTCAGAAGCCCAAACATCAGTAGCTGCTGTGATCTGCAGCACAGGATGAGGTCTGCTTTGACGTTTTAAAGTGTAGAAAAGAGAAGTAATGCACAAACCGAAGGAAGTAAAAGGGAAATATTTAGAATGGGACCAGGGTGCTCTTAAAATGAAGGGGAGTAATAGATGGGGTGGGAGGTGGGAGATAGAAGACTGTAGGGGAGAAAGCACAGTTTTCTGCCATGAGCAGCCAGTTTTCTCCATTAATAGCAGTATCTTGGTGGGCAAATGACACCTAAAATGCCAGTGTTCTAAAATTGTCCACAAAGTCTCTCTGTCCCAGAAAAGCACTTTGTTACTGATAATCTGGAGTCCCCTGTGAGGGGAAAAGCAGGAGTTAAAATGGCGACTCCCTGGAAAGGTCCTGACAGTTTGGTGAGAGGTTTTTATAAGGAAGAGGAAGGTTGCCCATTTGATAATTTCAGAATTAATTTTTAAAATCCTCAAGAAAATTCATGTGGACCCCATATGTGAATTCATCTTAGCTACAGAAATAGAGTATGATTCTGGATTCACAATATGCTCTTCTGAATGTAAGTAGAAAATAATTAGCATTTATTTTTTAAAAGGCAAAGAAGTTCTTGAGAGCAGACGTCTCACAGTGTAAGAAATAAGGAGATGTAAAAGTACCTGCCCTAAGGGAGATCAAGATTCTTTTAAAAAGAACGTAAAATGTACAAAGATAGTTAAGACTGGCCCATTTCTTTCCATTTTCCCTAGTCTAGAATCATAGAA